AGGTTGACATGGAAAGCGCAATCCAGTGGGCTTAGGAGGCATGGAGTGAGGTCGAATCGTCGACGATTTCGAACTGCTGGCGCCATACCAACATCCTTGGTGATGCCATGGAGAAGCTCGCCGAGGGTGTCCAAAGTGTGCACTTGAAACCGACGCCCATCCATTTCATAACTCACTAGACGTTTGTACTGATGGATTATAACTTCACAGTCAGTTTCAATGGACTTGTGAAAATTTATTCCTCTCGTTATTAATATTCAAACCTCTGAAACTTGTTTGCCTTCATGGGAGACTTGACTGTTGCTTGAACAAAACTACAGTCAAATCTCGTCGAGGGTAATTTTATCGATAATACAAATTTTAAGATATTTCTCCAGTACAGTTCCACTGGGGACATTTTTCGGTCGAGCACTGAGCGAGCAATCATGGATTTGCCCCGATGTATCTGAGTACAAACCATCGCCACGAGTGAATCAAATCCCTTGAATCGAGCCATTCGACTCGGAGCATGGCCGAATTGGCATTCATCGCACTCAACGGATCGCGTTGTGTGTGCATCATTCGTGACGGAAATGAGGGATGGCTCCATTGAAGCACCGAGTCACGGCCGTCGATGCTACAAAGTTCATCTTATGCAAGCTATGGACCAGGACTCGGGCTTCGCTTCATCAAGACAGAAAATTGTAGAAACATGTGGAGTTTATAGTTCGTAGCTAGGCTTCGTATCCTGGCAACGTGCTGACGGCGACTGGTATGTCCTCTACTTGCGCTTTCATCTGGCCGATCGTGTACGGCATGCAAAAGCATGCAAAGAAACAGTCATCGAACAGGTTGCCTGGGATGCCAAAGTACGACCTGACCTTGAACCGAGCGACGGCAACCACCATCGCTGCCAGCATGAGACTTCCAACGCACACGGCGACCCAGTCCCATGACGATCGCTTGTACATGAAGAAGAGGGTCGCTGGAAGGGTAAACGCGATGGTGTAAAAGAATGTCAGCATGCCACCGTAGACGTAGCCGTGCGTGATAATGCGAGACATCGTGTCGGCAAGCACGACGCATGGGCAGCAGTCGGTGCTCAAGTTGGTCGTGGCTCGAGTCACAGGCACCTTCCATTCACCGAGGGTGAGAGGTGCAACTGGAACGGCCATCGGCGGCGCTTCCATGTCCGTGTAGACTTGCTTTGGAGTCGACGCCATGGCCCGTGGAAGAATGTGACAAGGTTGGCGCAGAAGTCGGAGGAAGCATTGACGACTCAGTCGTGAGTGTCATTTTGGTCAAAATAGTGGCACTCACCACGTTGGACATTTGGGGTTACTTGTTGAGATGTGAATAGATCGGGGAGCCTTCTCTCGTGATGGGGTGGTGCATGCATGTGCAGAGCCAGGTGGCCGCGATGCCGTCGATTGAATGAACAAAGGAGAATGGCACCCAACACGAAGTTCTGCCTTTGTTCTTTAGCGTATCTCGTGACCAAACACGGGTCAAGGAGCTGAGTTGGTCTTAGCTCAAGGGTGCATTGGAATCAATCAAGGCGCTGGAAAGACAAGGCACCAGTACCGAGGCTGTTTTGGTGTATCGCCCTTTAAAGGACGTGTCAACTGGCTACGGACATGCCGCACCCTGCTATACCAGCCAACTGCCTGTACATTCAAAGACGCCACAGACAGAGCGCCAGTTGAGCGCAGGTTTTGGCGCCTAAGCGTCGTGATCACCATGGCGAGGCATCGGCATCGCGAATTTCGGTGAGCGCTTTTGATTGGACAAAATAAAGATCGACCCCTTTCGCTCCAACCGACGCTGACACACTTCTGCCATGACGACGACGCCAGCGCCGCAACCCTCTCAAACTCCTGCTGGGACGGAGTCGAAGCTGGACCATAGCAATTACGTTGAACTCGAGCTAAACGACGTGCATTTTTGCTCGCACCCCGATGCATTCCACGTCGATGTTGTATCGACTGAAGGAACACTTCCGGTGACGATCTCCCTCGAATCCCATCGCACCAAGGGGAAATGGTCTCGTCCTCCGCCCTACATGTCATGTTCTCCTCATGTCTGCGAAGTAGGTCGTGCCATGTCGTCGATTTAAAGACGCATGCTACCAAAGACGCACACAAACTTACCGACGGATTCGCGGTAGTTCTGGCGCTACAGGTCTCACCAACTTATCGCCTTTCTTCCTCTTACCGTCATTCGGTAGCATGCATTACTTGCCCTTCAAGTTGAAGACAATGCGACACCGCTGCAGGCGAAAGTTGACTTGAAGCACCACTCTGCCTCGGGCGCCATGCATCTCTTGCTTGTCATCAACAGGAATGCTGTCGACGTCGACCAGGCCGTTCCTCTCGGCTTTCATTTTGAGCTCGTACCGCATGCCACTGCACCCACAGACGACGCGTTGGACGCCAAGATGCTCGAGTTAGTCAAGGATATGGATCGCATGATGAAAGTTCCCGAGCCGATGCTTCTGTTGCTCTCGCAAGGGTGCCCGAAGCTTCTAGGAGGCACTATGCTATGCTCATGGACTGTTCACCCCAGCTTGGAACCGCAGTTTTTTGCCTTGTCGGAGGACGCGACCGAGATTGTGTTTCTGAAAAAGGGAGGCTATCACATTCAGATTCGAGGCTTGAGCAGCGTCACACCTGACGCCCCCGCGACCCCAAGTCTCCATTCATTTGGCGCCGGAAGCTCGTTAATTGCTTCCATGTTTGAGCTGTACGTGGACCACATTCAAGTGGCGATGTCCCAAGGCTACGGCAACTTTTGCCAGCTCTCGTACGTGCTCACCGTGGAAAGAACGACAGTGGTGTCTGTGGCTGCTCGTGGCTACCACGAAATTCATCGCAACGTCACGCTCTTGATCGAGCAGGTGCCAAGCATGTGACTCCAGACGCGACAATCCACCAACGTGTTGACACTAGCTGCGGCAGCGCTGCTAAGAGTTTAATTGCCCTCTTTTCCGAAAATTTGCAAATTCGACAACGAACTGGATGCAGTTTTTGCACGTCTCCAGACTGAACGCCCCGAAAAAAGCCGACACAGTTTCATCCTGAAATGCAGTATAAAATCAATTGTTCGCTATTGCCAAGTTGATTGGCTAAAATCAGTAGAATTTCAGTCAGTATATTCAAGTGATTATCGTATCTGCAATTGGTCAAAAGGAATGCCACCGCTTCTGACTTGGAATTGAAACATACAAGGGACAAAAGATTTCAAACGACAGATCATGTTTTGGACGGGGGGGTGCATTGTTGGGGGTGTCGGCTTTGTCCGGAGTTCACTGCATGCAGAAAACGTGACTTATCACGACAAAGCAAACTGTAAACGTAGACGTCTACACGAATTCGATGCGCTCGGTCAACGTGCAAGTGTATCTCCACGAGATGTCTTCACCGGGACATGCCACGTTTTCGTACCACGACCTCCTCGGCGACATCCAAGTCGCTTGCTTCTGTCGGGATATGAACCATGATTTGATTGGCTGATTGTGTCCTTTATTTTTTAATACACGAAAATATCATAGTGACGAGAGTTCTCGGCGTCGTTGGTACCTTCCGTCGACAATGTGGTTGCCGCGCGTCCGCCGGAGTGCCGTGATGGCTGACAACTTCCGCCGCGCATTGTTCTCTACTACCAAGAATTGCCGCGAAGAAGAGCGCTTCTTCTCGCTCTTGGTAGTCAACCGTCCAGGGACACTGGCGCAGATTGCACAAGCGTTCTCGGCTCTCCACACGAACGTAGGGTCGTTGTCCGTCCAACAGACCGTCGTGCCAGAGTTAAGTCGCATGACAATCTCTGCCTCCGTGAGCGACCACACCACGGCGCGCATCTTGCGTCGGCTGCGGCGCATGGTGTGCGTGACATTCTATCACGTCACGACGATGCATCAGTGCTTGTTGGACGAGGCGTGTGTCGTGCAATCGCAACTGTTGCTTCGACTAACCGTCCCGCCGTCCCAGATGGATGTCGTCAAGGGCCTGCTTGTCAAGTACAATGGACGCTTGATCGAAGATGATTCAAATTTCTCCGACACTTCCATCGTGGTCCCGCCTTCATCAAGTGAAGTGGATTGCGAGAACGAGCCTTCTTCCCGGTTTCCGTCCACGATTGTGCACGTGGTAAACGCGCCCCACCTACTCAACACTCTCATACATCGCCTTGATCTTGAAGGCGTCGCCATTCGTGAATGCCAGACCGCTGGACCATGCTTCCTCGACATCTATACCCAATCGACGCTACAACCCAAACCGCTGCATACCACTTCCCCCACGACTGCTCGGCCAGAGTACTCAAACTCGCGCCGCAAACTTCACGACCGAATCGCGGCACAACTCTACTTTCCAGAACACGTACCATCGCTGTTGCGTCACCCCAAGTTCATCTTGCTGCTTGGCATCCCAGGTGCCGGGAAGTCATCGATTTTGAGCGAATTGGACCAAACGGAGCGCATTGTGCTCAACGATTTCGTCAACTTTGACGTGGACGACGTGATTGCGCTCCTGCCCGAGTTCTACAAAGCGATGCTCAACATTGGGCTCGGAAACCTCCAGGACGAAGAACCGACGGACCCGCACACGCGATACAACCAGTGCCAGGAAGAGGCCAAATACATCATGGACCAGAACCTCAAGCAGGCCACGGCAGAGCGGCGGAACGTCATCTTGCATGGCAGTGGGCGCAGCTTGGAGAAGTACCAGGACCTTATTCGACGCCTTGACCCGCGGTACGAGGTCCACGTCATGTGCGTGGACATTCCACTGGATCTTGCCATGGAACGCGTCGAGAGTCGGAGTAAGGGCTACGGCCGCAAGGTACCCAAGGCGTTTGTTGAAGATGCTGCGAGACGTATTCGAGAAACGTTTCCGACATTGGCGAACGCACTGCCGTATGCACATGTGTTCGACAACACCCAGTCGCCACCTGCGCTGGTGTGGAGCAAACAGCAGCATCGTGTCGTTGTCCAAGAGCCAGATCACCCTATCCAGCGAAAGTATGGTCTTTAATCTACAAGTTGTGTACGTGTGGATTTCCGAGACAACTTTGGATGAATTAGTGCTGTTGGCGTTATCAGCGGGTCATGGACATCGGAGTTGCCGTGACCTTGCTGATCATGACGCGACGCTTCTTGGCCATTTGGTTCGATTGAAGAATTGGCAAGTTTGCACAGCTTGTTGACCGGCGCGCCCTTGATGCCACAGTGTGCAATGGGACCCTTTTTCCTGGTGTCTTGGATGATTGCACCAGTTTTTCAGCTGCTGTATCAATTGTCCCGGTTATATAAACGTTGTCGAATGCTTGCGCACCTGACTGAATGGCTTTTTCGATGAGAGCACGATTGGAATCTTCGTGAAAACATGTCATTTTTGTCGACAAGCAAGATCATTACCATCCAAGACGACCTTGTACCCGTCAAATGCAACTTCCCGTTCCATATCGATGAGCTTGTCGTGATGCATGCGCCATAAAATGGCCTTGGCGAAATTTATCGACCACGACATGCATTTCGCAAGAGTATGGACTGATATATGCCGTCTCATTTTTCCATGTACGAGGTTGATCGCATCTGAGAGGTACATTGGCCATACTCGAGCATAACGATGCAAACATACCGAGGTAGAAAGTATCTTGTTGCGCCATCACTTCATATTCGTTGTCACCGCGACGCACAAATACATTTTCTGCGCAAAGCTAAACAATCAAAGTCACATTTGCTCCAAAGCAGAGCTAGGTACTTCATCCATGCATTTCCTTATCACGGAAGGATCATAGCCCAACTTTTTCTCGACTCTACAAATCGATGGTGAGAATGGACTGAAATGAGTGTTTCAATACTCGTCTATGGTCACCATCTTGAACTGAATGCAGTGTCGAATAAGTCCATCTTTCGTCAGTGCAGGGCTTCGTGTGCGACGTTGCAGAGGATGAGACGAAGGAAGACGAGCCTTGTCACTGCAAATCCCATCCTTCGAATTGTTTGGACTGGGTAAAACTACTGAGGGAGATTTGGCCTCCTCATTGGACACGATGTTCGCTTGCGAGAGTGATATGTCGACTTCGCGACTGGGCGGATCGATTTCAGCCCTGAATGCCCTTTCAGTGGCCTCCAACTTCATTGAGATTGAGTGAAATGGGGTCGCCATGCGACCCTGAGGATATCGTGAGAGTTATTTCTATGCCAGCTAGCCATACTTACCACGTCCAACTTCAAGGTTGGTTCTCCGAAAGAATCGCCGAGGTCAGCAGTGAGAGGCTTGAAACACTTTGGCTGCCACCCAACAGGGCAAGAATCTACAAGGCTGATTCTTTATGAACAAATTCATCTAGTTACCGTTGTAGGATAACTTCATTGTGATGTATCGGTTTTTAGGAAGTGGGTCAAGTGTATTGGTGATGCTCACAAGATTCCGAATCATTTGAACTGCCTGTGATTTCACCTTTTCGGGATGCGAATCAATAGTTTGAGTCCCCGTGAAGCTTGTAGACAAAGCAGATCCCTCTGCTGTATCTTTAATCTTGTACGTGTAGCTACAAAATCCACTGCAAGTACCGAAGGTAAACTCTCCTTACCATTCCAGCAGGTTTTCAGGCGATTTGTTCTTGCCCAGTGCATAAATACAAAAATCCATTTGCAATAGGTACTTTTTTTCCATCGCGTCGAATGCTCCTGCTTCAAGCCACTCGGTTACACAATGGGCATCTCGCATGAACTGGTCTGTCGTGTTGTCGATTGGAGCAAGGCACTTGATGCGCATATCAGCATATACCCGGTCTTTGAACACTTCCTCCGGAAATAAATCTATGCTCACAGCGTCAATTCCATCACATGATGGAGCCGTACTTCGAATGTAGCAGATCTCTGAAATGGACACTCGTATGAGGTTTTTGAAGACATTCAACGACTGCTGATCCGTGATCTTAGAGCTTCCTGGGGTGTGGGGGATGGTCATGACGGGTGTCGCTTTTGCGGCAGTCTTCAGGGAGATACGTATTTTGCCGCTGGATTGCGTCATGACTTGTGGTGCCGTGAGGGGTACTACGAGAATTCCGAAATGACCTTGCAATCTTCGCGCCATTTTTCGTTATCCGGTCAATTTTTTAATCACTTTAAATAATTAAGGGGATTTGAAATAGTTGAACCAATGCTTCAATCATCCGGATACGACTCAATAGTCCAATGTCATTTGCCATGCGGCTCGAAGATAGGAAAGAGGAACTGTTGGAGTATGGGCATGACTTGGATCTCGAGCGCCTCCGTGAAGAGGTCCCTCACGTCGTCAATCTTGGTAACTTGTAGGAGTTCATGCGAACGGAACGTGAACAGAGCGGCGGCGAAGATTGCGATGATTTCCAAGCTGTCGTAACCGACTACCCGATCCCACAACAGCAGCACCTTCAGCCGTCAATTTTCCCATCAGAAGCCCCGACAATCCTTATGAATCGAGACGCATGGTACCTGGTCAATTTCTAGTACGCCGGAGAATGCGCTCTGTATCCACGGGAACGCGATTACGAGCGGTACAATCTCATGCTACAGGTTGAATAAGTTACTCCACCACTATACCAGTGAATTTCGTACCTGAAGCAAATGCTGAACGACTGCAGGGATGTGACGATGGACGAGTGTTTCAAAGGTTTTACAAAGCGCCAAGATGGAATTTGGTCGTGCCGAGATCCCCGTAAGTTGACACCAGTACCGGCAATACATGTCCCGAAACACGAAGTAGACGTGCACAGGGTCGTCGTACAAGTAGCACAAAGGCGCAACGAACATCACCAAGCCATGATAGGGCATCACATTTGCTGGTGGGATCGCGACATTCGACCCTGTCTTCTCTGCCGTGGGGTTTGTGTTATGGAACAGCACAGGATGTTGCAGCGTCATCACGGCTTGCGACGCCACTGCCACCGACAGTAGATGTTAGCAGAATCATTCCATGTCGACATACCTTGTTCGTCTCGCGAGAACGCCAGCATGACACTACGAAGATGGTCTTCAAATGGAAAGTAGTCGGAGCTGTCGGTGGTCTGCTGCACATCCAGCATGAAGAGGCCGTCGGTGGCAAACGTCATGGCCCTGACTTTTGCCTCCAGTTGCTGAAAATAGATGGGGTCGATAGCTACGCTCAACGCTTGTCGCCAGATCTACATGACATGACCACCTCAACCAACTCAACGGAGTCATACATGCGGCCGGAGGGTGATCGGGCTTCCCGTTTTGGCGTATTGCCTTGCCGTCGGCACGGTTCCGTTCTGAAGGACTTTGTCTCCAAGCTTGTTTTTTCCCTGAATGTACACGTAGTCGCCGTGGATGTTGGGCACGTCTTCGTCAAGGCCGTATTGGGCATGGGAAGGTGATAGTTCCTGGTCGTAAATACATTTAAAAATCCCGCGAAACCCAAATATTTTTCTATCCAATGTACCGTGTATTGCTGTTGAATTTCTACCAGCTCACGGGTTCGAAGCAAGGGATGTATGGAGCTCCACGGATGCGGCGGGACATGCGGTGACCGATTGAGCGGCGCGATACGTTGAAGTGCCGTGAGGAAGTCGTCGCTAGTTGGAGAGGCGATCACGAAAGAACTACAACAGAATGCGTCTACCTTGAAAAGAGGAAGCGGCTTGCGACGTTGGGCTTGGTGGTTTCAGGGGCGTCTTTCGACGACACATTTTCGTGGTAAACGACGAGCGGCGTGGACGTCTGTCGAACGTATTCACGCAAAGAATCCGTTGCGAAAGCTTCCCATGCCTTTCGCGCCACCTCAATCGCTTCTAATGCCTCCCGTCGATCGGGCTCAATCGATACCAAAGCAGCGTTTTGTTTGCCAAAGTCGCGCTTGTCTTTGGTGCCCTCGGTGTGAATGTCCATCACGAACGTCTTGATTGCATGCACGAGACCGAGACGCTGCATCATGTACGTCAGATTGACGTGAAACTACCCATAAAGTCGAGTCAGACGCCGCACGGTAGGATGGGAATGGTACATCTTCTTCGTCGCCTTCCATATTGTTGAGCTGGCGCTTGAGTTCCGACTTGAGCTTGTTGCGGCAATCCCCAAGGAAGGAAGATTCTTTCATGCGGTCGAAGATGAACCCAACCTTTTCGTCCACCGTAGCTTCCGCATACACGAACTTGCCGTCGCCTTCGCTGCCTTTCTCGGTCATCCTGCCGCAATGGATCCAAGTGCCGTGGCGCTTCGACAGATCCATCTATATCCGGATCCGTATAATGTTTTATGGGTCAATTTTTGATACAAAAATGAAGAAATAGGTGAGTACGAATTCACTGCGGCAAATGTCCAAGACGGAGTGCAATTCTTCGCATGCGCTTTCTTTTGAAAGGTTGGTGGTTGGCCTAGACATCATGCAGTAACAACCACCGCCTTGACATGGGATCTCGCCTTGACGTCACCCAAGAAAGCACAGATCACGCATACCTCGTTCATCCCCGGGAACTGGCTGCATCATTTGACGACCCAACAACACAAAGCACGGCGCTCCTCGAATAAACTCATCTCCCCTGATGAACGGCCAAACACATTTCACTGTCCACAAATCTTGATAGTTGAGAGCAGCTTTACAATGGTGCGTCTGTTTGAAAGCCGCACCAAATCTGGCTCTTGCAGTCCGATGCACAAGGGGTGAAAAGGTACTTCATGGTGCTCACGGGCCGTCAACTGCGTCTGGCACGATGTATGGCCTGTGTATTGGGAGCTACGGAGCTTTCTAACGCGGCCCCATTCCGTGTCAACGGACAGCAGGGGGCACCTGTAAGTGCTGTATGCACGCAAACATCCATTCATCCACACGACGGCAGGCCAAACTCATGCTAAACGTCGTCAAAGGCAAAGGTTGCACTTGGGAAAAGCCACACGGCATCCACCGGAGATGGGGAAATGAGCTGTACTGTTTGGATCGATTGCCTTCAGTTCGTGACCGCACGTACAGGCTCCTTCTGGGTGAATGAGTGTAGCACAAGGTTACGCGGAGAGGGGTCTATGCCATTGCCTCGTAGGCCCTAACCTGAAGTATGTCCGTTAATAAAAAATTGTTTTGCCGCTCGATGAAAATGAAACCAAACATGAAGATCTAGTTGCGGCAAGTCCTTTGAAATGTCATGTTACCGTTCATCCATTTCAAATTCTGCATTTTCGACGAATTATCTGATTGGCTAAAATTGGCAGCCAGTATGCGTAGATCCTCACTACAAAAATTCGCTACTCCGCTATGGCAGATAAAACGTAGTGGTTTGTATGGGTACAGAATCGCAGTGATGAACGTCTTTACAGCAAATCAAAGGTTTACCTTTAATGGTTTAACTTTATGACGTTTTTTCTTGCCTTTAGCCTATGAATTATATCTTCCAACACATAGTGGTGATGTGTCCAATCAGCAAAAGTGAAACTATTAATTAAAATATCTCGTTTTCTGTATGCTAAAGGTAATACATTCCTACCTCAAAAAGCAGGGTTCCTTCTGCTTCATCATATTGACTGCGTTTGAAAATGGCGCAGTGGCGGCGGTTCGCCTTCTTTGAGAAGGAGCTCCTGAAGGACCAGAATGGTCTGTGGTTACGTGTACGTCTTCATTGTTTGGTAGGGTGTGCGAGGGTGGTGACGCATGTGTCTCTCTGTCTAGGGAATTGACGTGACGAGTATGAGTGGGAACCGCGGACTCCTCGTGATTGGGGATGCATCTGGGCTTATTCACTTGGCAAATCGGCAGCTGGAGACGCGGGCGTTCCGTGCACACGAACACTTTGTATCCCATGTCATCATGATGAAGAAGGCCAACTTGCTCGTGTCCATTGGGGACGGAAAGGACCCTCGCGACCCCGACCTGATCAAAGCCTCCAAAGCCGTTGCGGAAGCTTCTCGAACGCAAGCACAGCAAGACGAAGTACGAATCCACCATGGTGACTTATCACTCATGGCGATCAACCCTAGCAACTGTTTACATCGTCCGACAGCCGCGGGAGCACTGCGCTCGTCAAGATCTGGCGCACGGATCAGCAGGACCGCGACGGCAAGCCCAAGTTGCTGCAACAAATCAAAATCTTTTCCAAGGTAGTTTTGTGCATCTCTACTGTTTCTACCTTTCCTCCTTCTTGACTTGGCGCTCCCAGTTCGCCGAAGAAGCTGTCACCGCGTTTGCCGTGTCGGACGACTTGAGTCAGATCGCGATCGGCTTGCTCAACGGCGCGATCATTCTGTTCCGCAGCGACGCCAAACGACGCTCGGACAAGCCGCCGCTCCTTCTTCAGCCCGCAACGCAGTACCCCGTGACATCCCTTCACTTTGCTACCAAAGTAAATATACTGACGCTGTACGCTGCCACGAAGCGCGGGTTGACCTGCTACCATTGCGATGACGCCTCGTCCAAGTCAAACGCCAGCAACAATGGAATGCCGCGGTCGGTCGTTCTGGACGAGCGCGGTGTGGCGCTGCACTGCGGCGCTGTGAGCGAAGACGGCGACATGGCAGTGGGGCAAAGCGATGCGGTGTACTTTTACACGCCCGAGGAGCGCAGCGTGTGCTTTGGATTCGAGGGAGACAAGAAATACCTTGGTTTCTTCAAGCAATACTTGCTTGTGGCCCACGTGGATCCTCGCGGCCGCCACCAAGTCAATGTGTACGACCTCCAGAACAAGTTTATAGCGTTCAACTGGACATTGACCAACACGGCTAAGATTGGGGCGGGCGGTGGCGGACGCTTTGGCGACGACGCCGCGGAAGAGATTCGCCATGTCGTGAGCGAGTTTGGCGCGGTCTTCGTTCTGAGTTCCCTCGGGTATGTTTACCGGCTCATGGAAATCGACACGACATCCAAGCTCGACATTCTCTTCCGGAAGCACCTGTACTCGATCGCGATTTCGCTCGCCTTCAGCTCCAACTACGACCTCACGAGCATCATGGACATTTTCCGCGCGTACGGTGACCATTTGTACCAAAAGGGCGATTTTGACGGGAGTCTGAGGCAGTACGCCCGCACGATTGGTACGTAAACAGGCTTTTCTTGCTGAATTCTTTGTGCATATCACGCTAACTTTTGTGGATCGGTGGATTTTTGCTTGTGATGTTGACGTGCATGGACTGGCTGGACAGGGTATGTCGAGCCATCGTACGTGATCCGGCAGTTCCTGGATGCCCAGCGCATCCACAATCTCACGACGTACTTGGAAGCGCTGCACGCGAAAGCGTTTGCAACGTCGGAGCACACCACGCTTCTCTTGAACGTAATGGCGAGAATCCTTGCCCGACGTCATTCACTTGTTTGTATAGTGCTATACCAAGCTGAAAGACGTCAAGAAATTAGACTCGTTTTTGCTCATTGACGACGAACAGACGACGGACGATGCGCCAACGACGGCCGACACGCGCAAGCAACCCAAGCAGCAACTCACGTTCGACGTTGAAACTGCGCTGACTGTGCTGCGGGACTACTACCCCACGCACGCGCTGGCCCTGGCCAAGAAGCACCACGAGCATTCGTGGTACCTCAAGATTCAGCTGGACCGCATCCACTCGGAAACGCTAAGCGATGCTGACCACGCGCGCGTGCAAGATGCACTCACGTACATTGAGGGGTTGAGTTTCACCGAAGCGAATTTGAATTTGCGAAAGTACGGACGCACCCTTGTGACCCACGTCCCTGGCCCGACGACCGAGTTGCTCAAGGCACTGTGCACGGGTCGTTTCCACGACAGCAACGGCGAAAAGGCGGATCCGGCCAACTTTTTGCACTTGTTCGTGTCCCATCGCGCCCAGCTGCGGGAGTTTCTCGAGTACATTGTGCATGTCGAGACCGTCGCGAACCCCCAGATTGGCAATACGTTGCTTGAAATGGTGCTGAGCGACGTCGGCCGTGGAGGACCCAACGCCGCTGTCGACGAATTGGACGAGGAGCATGACGAGGGTGGCAGAGCACCGGGGGGAGGTACGGCTTCGACGTCGGCGGCCAAGAACGAATCCGCCGTGTTGGCGCTGTTGGACAATCCCCGCGTCAAGTATGACGAAGATCATGCCCTCATACTCATGCAAATGCACGGTACGGTTTCCTGTTGGAGTGCTTGCGGTTTGAATGGATTCGAAAATTGCATGCCTAACACGACCGTGGGGATCAGGACTCAAGCAGGGCAAGCGATACTTGTACCAGAAGCTGCACATGTACCACATGCTCGTGCAGCACCACATGGAAGAAGGCGACAACGTGGCGGTGCTGGAGCAAGTCAAGCAGCATGGGGAGTCGAACCCCAACTTGTGGCTGTTGGCGCTCAAGTACTTTAGCGAGAAGAAAGACAACGATCCGACGTACACGCACTTGCAAACGTTGTTGTCGTGGATGGATTCGTCGTCGAAATCGCTGCAGATTCCACCGCTCCAAGTCGTTGCAATCTTGAGCCAGGCGCGAGACCTGCCGCTCTCTGTGGTGCGGCAGTACGTGGTGAACCAGCTCAAGCAGGACCAGATCCACATCGACAAGGAGAACGACGAGATCAAAAAGTTCAAACAAGACACGGCCAAGATGCGCGCGCAACTGACCACCCTTTCTTCCAAAGCAATGGTGTTCCAGGCGACCAAATGCGACTTGTGCAGCCATGACTTGGACTTGCCTGTCGTGCACTTTATGTGTGGCCACTCGTTCCATCAGGTACTCGATGTCACGTGGCGCAAAACTCATTCTCGTGGTGGTAGAATTGCATTTCGGAAACAGACCGGGAGTGCATGACGTGCGGCCCCGAGCACCGCCACTTCGTCGCGCTCAAGACGTCTCTCGAGACCAAAGCGTCGAACCATGAGTTGTTTTTCAACCAGTTGGAATCCGCCACGGACGGGTTCAACACGATCGCTGAATACTTTGGCAAGGGTATCTTCAAGGCGGACGACCCGATGATGGCCCAGTTGGGCCTCGGGGACGAACACGCGTCCGAAGCACGTTTTAGCAATGAGTATTGAATGCAGTAACGTTGAGCTAGTCGTCGCTTGTTAGGTCGATCACATGGGGCGGGGGTCGGGAAGCGGTGGTGGCCCATGCCAGTTTCCGCTTGCTCAGACGAGTCTGGCACATTTCGCAAGCGTCGGCAGTCGTTTTGTTCCAAAAGGTGCAATGAGGGCACTGCCACTCGATGTCGTCGTCATCGTTGAATTGTTCACGAGTAGTGTTTGTTGGGTGGGGTTGGCCCGCTGGAGTGGAGGGGACGGATTTTTCATGGGTGCACGTAATATTGGCACACGCGCGAGAGTCGAGCAAGCGTTTCTCGGCTGCTTCCAGCATCTTGGCACGGAGGTCCGATGCCGCGACAGCCGACCCGCCCAGTCGGTTTGTCGACATGATGGCTTGATGCTAACATGACAGCCAATGATGAGACTAGTCCAGGAGAGGTTATGAACCTTCTGACGGTTGAGCGCCGCAGAAGCTCGTACGCGGGAGACTTGTGAGGGAAGTACATGCATTCCACCCAAGGACTATGAAGGTCCATGAAGATGGAGGAACAAGAGGTGCGTGAACCTGTCCATTGCCTGCGTCTTGGAAGGCAGCTCCCGCCGCACCCAGAAGCCCTCTCTCCAGGAGATTCTCCATTTCTCTTGTCAGTTCATCCAACATCTGCGCAGAGGCGTTGTGATAAAGATAGAGTCACGATGAGACATGCCTTGTAGAAGGAAGCGTTGTGGGGACCGATTTTCATGTGAACGAGCTCGTGCAGCATGGTGCCAAGGATGTCTTCGAACGGAAGAAACGTCGTCGGTTGCGATGCCGGGCGTACTAGGTCAACTCGCGTGAAATCTCCGTTGCCAATACCGCGACATTACGTCGCAGGAAAATCTTCCATCCTTGGTTGACGTTCATCCCGAGAAGGTTGCCATTCTTTGGAAAGAACTCCAGCAAGTTGCGGACTTTGAATTGGCGCTTCGTGCATATAGGCAACACATGATCGGCAATTCTTTCCAAAATCCTCTGCGCCTCATCCTTCTTGCTCTGCCGCTTCTACATGTGCATTGAGCAGACAATAGTGCCCCACATGAAGGATGAATCAGCTACCAGCACTTGGATCGTCGGGATCATCCACTCCCCGGCATTTGCCATCGCGATGCACGAATCGCAGAAAGCACTTTGATTGGTTGAACCATTCAATACATCAGCCACTCAAATGTCGACATCAGTAGTATAAATAGTGCAAGACATTTTAACCAGAAAATGTATGTAATTCAATAATTGGGTTTCTTTGAGCATTGATTACTAGTAGTTGCAATTAAATACTCGACTTCAAAATGTCCTTACTGAAATCAAAAGAAAAATCGAGATTATTCTATTTGAATGTACGCTAGATTCGAGAATTGACGAGAAGTTAGGGAGGTGCAGTGCCCTATGGAAAAAACATTCACTGAATTCCGTTGAAGCTAGAGAACTTTGCACGGCTTCCTCAATCCATCTCCAAGCTGTGCTTACCATTACAATATTTGCAGATGTCACCCACGACACGCGAAATCTCCGCCTCACAACGGTAACTCTTTCCCGCCGGCAGTTTGGATTTCGAAATGGGCACAATCCGGGCATGGTTATCCGGATATGTTCTTGGTGCATGTGGTTGGGGCGCTTCCTTTGGGTTGCATTTGAATTATCCATACAAATTTCAAATGTAGATTTTACCGGCACACCTACCCCGAACCAAAAATCAAACCGTCGAATGTACGTTAGTGTACTCTCGTCCATTAGTTTGTACAGAAGAAAATAGCTTGTTTAAATAATTTGGTAGTACGCATATTAATGTACGTGTACTGACCTACCGATTTGTGCGGCTCCGCGTTCGAATATCGGTCGACAGAGGGAGTGACCGCCGCAGCACAAGCAAATCAGCCAAGTACAAGACGATGGTACGTGAATGCGGGGAAGGCACGGGCCGCGCGTGGATACGGTGTTCATGGGGAGAATTGTGTGTAGAGCTCGAAAGCTGCCAAGGGGTCCGCAAAGGGTGGAGCTGCTGCCAAGGCTGCCAAGCATATTGAAGAGGAAGAAGTCGACGCTCCCGAAGAGGATGACGATGGTGATGAGGGCGAGGATAGCGTAGAAGACGAAGATGCTGAAGGCGGGGACGATAATGAAGAAGGTGATGACGACGAAGAAGAAGGTGAAGGCGGTGACGAGGAGGAGGTGGGTTTAGCATATCTGTACACTAATTTCGAGGTAGCGTTCCAATGGTGCGGGGCTCATGTAAATGATGACTGTGCAGGACGACGAAAACGATGGAGAATTTGAAGGCGAAGAAGGTGGGGACGACGATGATGACGACGAAGACCACGAAGAAGACGAGGAAGAGGAAGACGACGATGATGACGAGGATGAGAAGCCCCCTTCCAAGAAGCAAAAGAAATAATCTTTCAACTCACTGCCGCCTTGACGACGTGCATGTGTCGACGCCATCTTCGTTTGTCATGTGCCCTGCTCGATGGAGGCAACGGACATAGGGACTGCTACTTTTTTTTTTGTTTTCACCACCATCAATGGATCTATCATATTCATTGGGTACACATTCGCACCATGTTCTGCGTTTTCTTTTTCAAGTTTGCCCAGTTCCTTGCCGCATAGGAGGCACGGCTCTATCCATGCATCCCCATCGCTCCGCGGGCCGGAAGGGGTGCGCGCGGTGCCCGAGGCAACAAACAGCCAGAGATCGGTGGGTTCAAATCCCGGTCTCATTGATTCATGATCGAACTTATGCGGCCGCCTTGCCCACCCCACGTCTCAGCATACCTTGCTGCTAGTACTCAAGTTAGTAGTACTAGTAACAATTAGAGTTTAGCGTGCGTCGAATTTGAAAATGGGCAAATTGGCATTGCTCAGTCACGAATGCGTCTACCCGACCATGGTGCGCTTGCGGCCACGCGACCGCACTTGGTACAACTTGTGAAAAATGGCATCCGAACGACGCGACTTGGCTTTGTAGGCGCGCAATATTTCCGCCACCTGATAGAATTTAGTAGGTTCAACCAGCACGATTTGCACGCTACCAACGGTTCGGAGTGCACGTGGGTGCTCTGGAAAGCTCGCTCCATGACGTACAAGTCCACAGCCTTGTCTTCAGGCAACGGTTGTGAGTTGGCCAGACCAAAGTCAATCACAGTCTGTCAAGAGAGTCAAAGTTTGGACGACGGATACAAACGTACAATGGAAGTCGTGTCGGCTTTCTTCATTAGATTTGACGTGGTCAAGTCACCGTGAACGATGTCTGCGTCGTGCATGCGAGCAATTGCAACGCCAATCTGGTAGCACACCTCCAGTGCCACGGCGGAGTACGTTCCGGACGATTCGTCGTACGTATCAAAGAGAAACTGCTTGATACTGAGCCCGTGGATCCGCTCCATATATAGCCGACCCTTGGCCTCGTCAATCAAGAAAATACACGGCGTATCAACTCCAGACTTGCGACACTTGAAATTGCATCGAGCTTCCTGGACGAGACGTCGGTGACTGAGCTTCTTGTCGAGTTGGCGTAGGCGGTACGTCTTGATGACACGTTCCTTGATCACGCATGGTCGGCCAACAAAGTCCGTAGCGTACACAATCTATAGATGGACAAGCATGAGAAGCATGACTTCAGAAACGAGCGGGCGCACCGCTTCCGCGCCTTGGCTGAGCACCTCCCACGAACTGTTTGCCGCCGTGTCCGACATCGTGTTCCCTCCAGAGGTTGTCGCGAACAACTTTGGATTGGCTGACAATTTTGCGCTGCGTCTTGATTGGCTCGAATATGTCTATAATTGAGCGAATTTTCACTAAAAAAGCCGAGAAAAAGATTCATACTACTCTGTTCCAGGAAAAGAGGTCGGTTTGTTTATCTTGATTAAAGTATAGTTGACGGCTAGAAAATATCTTAAAGTTTGTATTGACCTTTGAGATTATATATTGCGCCACAAAAATATAATGACATTTTATTACATTCAAATGAGTACTCCTACTTGGGAATTCAAGCGTCGTTGAGGAATGCAAGTGCGTTCTCGTGCACGGTTGCATCGCATTTGACGTCGTCTTGGGCACACCCGATTGCGCCGCCAGGGACCGCAAGGTCTGCCGTCCGTGCAGAGGGACAGCCTTCACGG